TCCATAATTTAATCCAATTGAAAAAGTTTGACATTCAAAATGTTGGCTTTAAAAAGTCTAAATATAATTCTCAAATATACTTAAATTCAAACCAATTCTAAATTTAGATAGCTAATGTATTATAATGATTAAAGCCCAACCTAATTACGATGTGGAAATGCATTAAACTTTGTAATTCACAACTTTCTAAAAGATTAATTATAATAATTTTTACATTAAAGATGTGGGTTTATTGTCTAAGATGAATACATTCAATTTTCAAATATGATATGCTTTTTCAACTCATTTTGGATATTTTACAAAATATGGAAGAAAGAATCGCTGTTTATTTATTTAAAGGTTTATAAGAGGTTAAATGCAAGATAAATACTAAATAATCAATGAGTAGAAATATTACGTTTTCTTAAGAGAGTCATTATTGTCAAATCATTAAATTAGAGGGTATTGAGAGAGTAGAGAATCAAATAACAGTATCTTCAAAACTTAACTTTCGTATTTCTAAAAACTACAGAGTATATAATTAGAGTTCAGTCATTAAATTAAAATAATCTCCCATCCAGGACTTCTAATAAATAAGTATGCAGCAAAGATCAATCAGGCTGTCGTGATTGTGAATTTCCTATGGATCCTTGTATATACTTATCAATATTTTAGTAGTAGTCTAGTAGTAGTCATCTTCATGCAAAAGACTATTTTCAGTTTATCACATCAAAATCATCAGAATGTTAACTTCTTATTAAAATTTTAAAACTGTTTCCATTTTTCTAAAATATTCTTTTGCACAGACCTCATATTTTATTTCCAAAGGGATAGTTACATATATAAAAGTTCAAGGTTTCTTTAATGAAATTTCACATAGAAAAAAAAAATTATTTTATAATTTTTTTATTAAGCAACTAAAAAATAAATTCAAAAGAATAAATATGCATTAAAGTATAAATAAGTTCCCCAAAAGAAAGAAAAGATATTTTAAAAAATAAATTTATGATAACTCAATCACTTTACAATAAATATTTATAATTATTATCATTACTGATATTTTTATATTCTATAAATAAATTTCTCTTCGATTTATTAGCATCTCAAAGGTACTTAAATATAGTTTTGATAGGTAACACAATTGTAAACACTTTAAGGAATACATATTAAATTTCTTATATATATAAATTAAATGATAGAATTAGAACTTAATTGTGATTATGACATATTAAAGATGATTAAATGAGAAATTATTGTATTAATTAATTTAAATAAATACATGAATATCTTAAATCAAAAATAAGCATAAGAAACATAAGAAACAACATGCAAAATTCATAATCTAGAATTGATAGCAGTTGATTTGGATTTATCAGATAAGGCACAGATAAAATTCTTTTGTGGTAAATGCTTAGTTGAGAAATTAAATAACAATAAGGTTACCACTATAGAGTAATCAAAAGAGAGAATCTAAAAAGTTAAAATTTAATAAAAAGAAGTTAAAACAAAAGAAAATTAAGCAAGACTAACCTATTACAAAAATATATTAGATCAAATTATGGATTTCAAAAGATTTGTAGATGATTCATTGGATAAGATTTATAGATAAATTTAATAATACATATTTCCAATTTAAAAAGATAAATAAGAATTAATAGAATATGAATAATAATTAAATTACTTTGAAGATTTAAAATAATTATCAGAATTATATTCTTAAGATGATTAAAAATCAATTAAATTATAAGAAGATAAAAATTTTATTGATGAAATTTCAAGATAATTCGAATTATTGTTCAATTGTTATGAGTATTTTTAGACTTTAGATACTTTTAAGAATACAAAAGAAACTATAAAAGATATTATGTAAAATAATGTTATCGAGTTATTTCCTTTTGTGAATACTAAAAAAAATGATCCAGTATTTTTAATATATTATTAATAGAAAACACCAAGTTTAAATAGAATTTGTATTAATCATAAGAAGAAAATTATTATGATTGATATGGATTCATAGAATAAGAAAATAGAAGATAGATTTGTATGTGTTGATTGTATTTCATAGAATCCATCAATTAAATATTAAACTATTGAAGATATAGATAAGGAATGGAAGGAATATAACACAGAGACTGATAAGATACTAAAGTAAAACAAAAAAGAAAGTAGAGATAAAAAATCTGAATTAATCAATTAAATAGCATAAATGAGAAAGAATTATAATAAAAAATAGAATGAAATTAGTGATAAACTAATTACAGAGTCATTCTTATGTATTGATAAAGTGAATTAATTAAATTAAATAAAGAAAATGTCAATATAAGCATTAAGTGATGAATAATTATTAAAGGATTTAAAGCAATTGATTGAAAAGGAAAAAGAAAAAGTACCATAAAGTTAAATAATAACAACTTTAAAAAATAAAGACTCTATTTTCAAAAAGGAAATTGAATCTCAATTAGAATCTTTGTAATAATATGATTAGTAAAATATTTAATAATCATTGGAAATTCTCAAAGATATTACAAGTATCAATTTATTTAATAGTTTATAGTGGAAAAAATTTAATTTGTTAATTAACTGATATTATCTAAGAAATCTAAAAATGTGCATAAAAGGATGAAAGCTATAAAAATCAAATTAATTTATCAAAGAAATTTAAGAATTAATTGATCAAGCTAAAAAACATCAGTGTCAACTACATCTATTTGATTAGGTTATTAGTGTTTATTAATAGCATGTTTAAAAGATTGAATACATTTAAGAAAATATATAGATTAAATCCAAAGATTAAGCAGTTAAATCAGAATAATTAAAGTCTTAATATTCAAAAATATCTAATATTTTGAATGAATATAAGAAGATATTCGATAATAATAGTGCAGAGTTGATAAAGTTTTGTAACATTTAATAAATGGAGTTGGAAATATTAAAATTAACAGAAACGAATAAAAGTTTAGAAATTGAAAGTAATGCTTATATAATTATAAATAGAAAATAATTTAATCAATTCAATAGTTTCATTAAAATAGAAGCTCAATGAGTTAAATACAAAGTTAGAAAAAAAGGAAAAAGAATTTTAAGATTTGAAAGAATAATATAAATAAGCACTTTAAGATAATATCAATCTGAAAAATTAAAATGAATAAGATAAGACTACAATGATAAAGAAATTTGAAGATGAGTGTAATTGATTTCGATATTATTCCATAGAAAAAAAAGTAAAATAGGAATTTGATGAAAATTTAACTTCATAAAAATCATAATTATAACAAGCATTAATCAAACTTGATTAAATTGATAAAGTTAAGTTAGAATAAGAAAAATTAAATAAACTAGAATTAGAAAAAGTATATTTTTAATGTTTATTATATTATTTTTAGATTCAATAATATAACAAATCATTATCATTTTCAAATACTTATAAGCATAATAATTGTTAAGTAGTGAAGGAGGAAAAGTTGTGGCAGAAGTTACTAATAATGGTAGTTATTGGTATTACTGTCTTTGTGAATAAGCAATTCCAAAGACTGGCAAAATATAGTTTGCATTTTAAATGATAAGTGGATCCTATTTTCATGTTGGAATAGGATTTAGAGACATTATGTAGAAAAATAATTATTAGAATTGTTGTAATGCTGGGTATGGGTATATAATTAAATTATAATAGAACATATTTAATACAATACAACGGTTATACATATTCTCATCATAACAAAGATGTACATAATAAATAGTTATCCTTATCATTTACAACTAATGATATAATAATAATTGAAGTATGTATTGAACATAAATACATTAAATGGATTAGATAGAATAATGCATAAGCAACAATTGTTGTAAATATAAAATCGATTATTAGTAGTTGGATATAGATACATCATAACAATTATATCCATGTGTAGGTGTTCTTAATAGTTCTAAAATAAAAATATTGGATAATGTACCAGTTTTATGATCAAGCATATTATATATATATAAATATTATAATATTAATTTATCATCCTAAATGATTTAATTTAATAAGTGTTGTGCATTTAAAGTAATAAATATGATATTTAAATAAATAATATTTAAAGTTAAATTTCTGCAGAAACTCTAATTTTGCAAATGAACTCATGGAGATTTGAGAAAATTACTTACAGCATATTCTCTAGTGGATAATATTAAAGACAAAATTAAGGATAAGGATTTGATCATTGATCATTGATCTATCTAATCTAATTTCATTATATAACAACTTATATAACGAATTTGTAAATCTACATCATGAATTATTAAATGTATAAAATCATCTTAGATACTTTTTGATATAAATTTGGCAAGTTTTTTGTTTACTATCTTTTTCCAAAATTGCTTAAATCAGATTGTTATATATTTTATAAAGAATTCTAATCCTTACATTCTTCATCTACTACGAATACATCATACTCTTTTAAAGAAAACTCTTAATTGTTTTGTAAAAAAAAAGTAATAAAAGCCAGCTTCTCAAATCATAAACCAAATCTTTTTAAGATAAAAATATAAATATCAAAGTTGTTAAAAAACCAGAATTATATCACAATTTTACAGTGTGCCAGCTAGATTATATCTATTTTAAGATACTACATTTTATTTTTAACAACAATTATAAAAATACTTAAAAGAAAATTATATCATATTGATAATAATGGATTCCTTTTTATTAATGCATTTTTCCTATAGGAATTAATTATATATTCATTCATTTATATTTAGGTCTTCAGAAAAAAAATATTTTGGAAATTCCTCTTTAAATTAAAAAAATATTTATCAATCAATAGTTTATAGCCATAAGTCAAACATTTTTTTATTGCAAAAATATGAAATTAAACGTTTTAAAATAGAGTATTTTTAAAATACAATACACACCTTTCAATTATTTCTGCAAAATTTAAGTTCTTTTAATAGAATAAAGGCTTTTAAAATTAATCTTAATTGTTCTACTAGCATATAATTGCATTAATTAATTAATGTATGTTATCTAAATAATAACTTATATACACAAATAAAATAATAACCCATTTATTTACAAAGGCATAGATTTAATAGTCAAAGATCTAAATTATTTAATGATTCTAGCTCTATATTTGCTTTCTTATTTTAATATTTAATTTAGATAGTTTAAAACATATTTTTATAGCTCTCTCTTTTAAGTTTAGTTAAAGGTTTTCTAAGAATACACAAATGAATTATCTCATTAAATCTTCAGTAACTTACTGTTTAATATATTTGGGATAAACAAATAAATACCTTTATATTTTATTACTTAAACAAGTTAGAGTATAAGTATTACATTGTCTATTTTATTTTATGAGTTTTGAGTATAATTAAAGTTTAAGTTTAAGTTTATTATTTTTATTAAATTAAATTAAAATTGCCATTATTTTAATATTCATGCCAAAATCAATTCTTCTTGATTTTTTTTGCTTAATTAACATAAACTAGCATGTTCTGTTCTAAAGTTCAATGAAAGTATGATTACAAAAAATATAAGTAATAAGTTAAGGTAATAAGTTTATATTTTTATTTAGAATGAGAAGAGGTTATGATTATTTTACAGAGTACTACTTCTTCAAATTATGGTTGTTGAAACTTATTCTTTATTTATAATCTAACTTTATAAACGGGCCTATTGTTATATAATAAACACAAGGAGAAGGTTGTGTGGTAGGAAATCCTTCTGAAAATGATAATATATTTGTTCAGTTGTGGTTTTAGAGTTTATAAAATGAAGAATAATATTAAATTTTATTTATCGATTCTAAATGAATTGGAAATATAAGGTGCAGAGATTCATGTTAATTATAATTTTGTTAGCTTTTGACAATGATGAACCATAAAATATCTATTTTTTTTTGGATTAATTGCATTGGTGCTCATCATAAACTAATTTTTTGAATATCCTTAAATTTTTAATTTTGTTATAATTCTATCATCCATCTACTTTTTTCCTAAAAAAAGATTACTTTCCTGTACTATGCAACTTTCCTATACAATTGAGGTTTAGATTGTGTTTCTGTTGTGAAAACATAAATGGTCAAATAAATCAAGCCCAACATAGGAATATTTATTATAAATAATCTCAAATAATGAATTTATAATTCAAAAACAAAATTTAAAGATTGGAAATAGCTTTGGGAGTTTTTAAAGAAATCAATATTATAGTATATCAGTTATGAATAAATATTTATATATTATCAACAATTTTTTCATTCTGAAAGTAATTCTAAAGTTACTGCAATTTTAAATAAATGAACTTTAATATTGGATAAAGTCATCCTTACCAAATTTGTTTCGTAATCTCTAAAGATAATTGACCAGTCTAAATAATTACTTCCCACGTTTTAGTATTTAAATTTTCTTAAAATATATAACAGATTTTTTTTCTTTTACTGTTAGAAAAGTTCTTCTATATCTTCTTATTTCAAATGCAATTCCTGAATTTATCTTATTAACTAATTCATTCTTATTAACTATATAGGAAGCTCTCTTTTAGCTCTAAACACTTTAAAGATCTGAATAATTAGATAATGTATGAAGAAGAGATCATTTTGATTAGTATTGCCAATTATTTACAAATACAATCTAGTTAGATTTAGATCTCTTAGTTTTTCAAAATATTTTCCATCCTCAATATCATACTCCAGCTAACAAATTAATAAATTAAAGGCCATTGTTTAAGCACAATTTATTGATTCTAAATTTATATATTACCAAATCTCATAATGGCAAGGATATAAGTATTCAAAATTTGGTAATCAATCTAAAAGAGAAAATTTTCTCATCATAGAAATTTATTTTAATTTACAGTTCATTATCTATCTAATTTTCTTAAGATATTATTCAATATTTCTTCAGATAATGATCCTTATTAATAAATATTTATTATAATATATTAAATAATTATTGAAACAACATCAAAGAATTCTAAAATTTCAATATTTTTTAATTTTTCTTTTTCCTCATATATTAATTGCTCATAATTTAAAATAAGTCTAAACTCTTTCATTGAATATTTTAATTTACATTAAGACTAAATTTTGAGTGGTATAATTCTTTCAAAATTCAATTCGAGAATAGCCTTTACTAATGGAACCTCGGTTATGGTTATATGACTCACATCATCTAAGTTTGTAATAAAAGAAATGTTGAAAAGAATCTGCAACAGACAACAGAGAAGATTTGGAACAATTCAAGGTATCACCTATTACTGATTCTAAGAAATTTATAAGGAGATCTCAAAGGGATAAAAAATTGTAGAAAAAGGAATAAGCAAAACTATAGAAAAAGAAGGGAAACCATAGAAGGTTTTTGTAGTGATTCCTATAAAAATATATGTGGGTACCTGTTAGAGTACCTTTTTTTATTGTAAAAAAATGAAATGTCTAAACCAGATGCAGCAAAGATAGATTTTCTATATATTAGGTTCTGAAATTCGAAATTCCATAATGAAACTTTTAATAAAAACAGAATGTAATATAAAAAGACTTAATCTCCTTAATAGAAGAGTTAAATAGTAAATAATTTAAGCAGAGAAATAGCTGGACTTATAAATTAAATCTCAATCTCCTATAAGAAAAAATAAAGAGCACAATTAATCATTACCCTCAATAGAGTATAAAGTCAAAAGCATCAGATGTGGGAGCAACATGGAAGATGAGAAGGAATAGGTATGATTAGCAAAAAGATAAACATAGGATATTTATGTCCTAAGAGAAGATGATAGTGTGATGGACATTTAGAATAATGTTTACTGAAGCAGAAATTAGGATTCATAGTATATAAGATAAAGCAAGTAATACTACTTTATTCTATCTGACCATGTACAAAACATGTGAATAAGAATGGAAGAAGATTGCATCAAGGGATAAAGAAAAAAATTTTGTAGAAAGGGCATCATATTTTGAATACTCTCGTATTAAGATTTTCAATAAAATTCATAAAAGAGGATGATAATAACGAATTCATTTAATAATCAAATTTAATAAGAGAATTCAGGGGAAGATCATCACACTTAAAAGAAAAGAGAATAAAGGGTATGAAATCTTTATAAAGGACCTTGGATTCATACACAGGAGATAATTAATTTTATTTAGTTAAGGTCAATCATTTGATGCAGAAACAAACAAATCGATATTTTGTTGACCTTTGAAGATTAAATGATCTCGGAAAAGACATAAAAAATGGATAAAATAACTTCAGTAGATGAATAATAAGAAGCATAGATTATGCTGAGGCAAAAATAATGATAGACAGGACAAGAGACATGAAATTCTATGGTTGAACTCACTAAATCATAAAGTGAAATAAGCTCTTAAAATTTAATATTAAATCTCCTTTATTGAGTTTGAAGCGATTGATTTGTCAAACAAAATTAAATATTTTGTATGGGATTAATTTTAAATCTTGTTATTAACTTTTTGATTAAAACTTAAATTCCAATTTTTGAGACAATGAATACCTGATCAGCTGTAATTTTCATTTTCACAATTTTCTCTGAATTTGCCGCAAAAATTTATTTCACAAATTTAATCAAATGGTTTTAGATAACTATTTATATCATATCAGTTATGTCTTACAGTAATTAAATGGATAAAATTGAAGTTAAGGTCTTATTAAACGGTTAAATCTTTTCATCTTCATTACTTATTATTTTTTAAAATTTTTACTGCTTTAGCTAAACTTTTCTAATGCATAAGTTTAAAGTCTTTTGTGCTAAGAATTTTTTTTCAAGATCTTAATTGATATTCTTGGACTTGTTATGTTAAAGAATTATTTTCTTTCAGAATGCTGAGATTATTCTAATTTATTTTGTAGATTGAATGAATTTACGATATTTTTTCTAAGAAGATCTTCCATATCAAATATTGATTTATCTTGCTTATAGGTCGGGTTTCCTTCTTTCATTCAAATTAATTTTTTCTATTGCTTTATATAAACATAAGTACCAAATAATTTTATTTCCTTATTAATTTTGATCCTTCCATCACCAAAATTCCACATATGAACGTCTCATTCTAATAATTTCCTTCTCTAAGTATTCAGGTTTAAAATATTAGTATTTTAATTATCAATAGATAATTTGAATATTTACCTTTGATTTAATCTACTTGTACTCCTTCTTTTATCCCTTTCTTCTTTTAATCTCACATTCTTTTTATGGTTCTAACTGTTTCAAATGTCAATGTAACTCTTGAATTACTTGCTCAGCTTTTTAAATAGAAAATGATATCATCAGAAAATAAGAAGGTTAAGAATTTTTTGAGTTTTTTTTACATTTTAATCTGGCTTATTTTCAATAATTTTAATTGCTTAAACTTAATTTTTTCTTTAATGAATATTTCTGAGCTTTTTTATACATATTTATAAGACATTAGAATAATAATTCATCACATATATGCAAATAAAGTATTTATAATTTTTAAGCATAATTCAAAATATTTGCCTCAAATTTTAATATGTCATCAGTTTGTGTATGATAGTTTTTTACTGAATCAATTTAATTAGGGTTAACATTAGAAATAGTTCTGAACAATTAATTGTACCTCAAGATTTAATAATATCATCTGCTATCACTAATTCCTTTCAAAATTGATTTTTGTTGCTTCTTATATAAAGAGTAATGCTAGACTAAAAGCCTTTGAAAATTTAAGATAAAAGCTCAATTTTTATTTAGAGAAATCTTTCATTGTAATTAACAAAAATGATATTGGTGTTTTTCCAACAAAACAATAGTTAAATGGTAATCCAAAACATCTTAGATCAAAAATAAAGTGAATGTAGTAATTGATGAATGGATAAATAATACTAATTAATTTTTTAGAAATCAAAAATTTAAATGGATAACTGGAATAATTGACACCACCCAACACAATTCATGGACAGAAATAATGGCCCAAAAATCCCATAAAATAACACTTGAGTGAGATTGCATATTTTAAGGACTTAATATAGTAGTATACTCCACAATCCATTGCCTCTATAAAACATATGAAATATGAGATTAAGGATGCTCCAAATGAAATTT